AAAAGTTCTGTTAATAGAAAAAAAAATTTGGCCTTACACAGACAGAAGGGTATTGTTTAGAAATAAAACTGCTTGAATTTAAGTGTTTCTGCAGTGAAATTAACTAGCTGTAATTTGTTTATGGTAGTAAATTCCAGATACTGTCAGGCAGTATTTTTGGTTTCTGCAGCACTGATTCTTGCCTTTTAACTGAGCCAGCTTGAAAGACAATAATTTTGTCCTACTTCAGAGTCTGAGTGTGTGATGACTCTGTTCTGTATAGTATTTAGTGCCTCTAAAGTATGTGCATGTACTCTAAAGCCCTGAAAAGAGAAGCCTTGATAAAAGATGTTCTGTTGCATTTTGGTCTTCTGTGTTTCCTGAAGACAGGGAAAATTCCAACGATCAGATACTGTTTAGCTAGTTAAAAACATTTTAGGCACTTTTTTGGCAGGTTTATAGGCTAAGCAGGAAGCTAATTGTGTGTATAATTGCCACCTACAAGCTTTATAGAAAACTGATCTTTCCCAAGTAGGTATGGGACTTTCTTGTCCCTGCGTCCCTGCTCTTCATATAATCTAATATGAATCAAAATGCTCCTTTTCACATAACATTCCCACATGTTGTGTCACATTCTCAATTTAGCATCATTCAATTAATGGCTTGTAACTTTTTGAAAACATCTAAAAATGTGTGCACTTGCTCATATTTTGTTTTTTTAAAAAATGTATCTATGGGGATATTACTCCTTAGGGATTCCTGTTTATTAAATGGCATATTTTTGAATCTTTTGTTCACTCCTGTTCTGTTGCTGTCAATGCAGGGTTCCAGATGAATGCCTCTTCTTGGCCAATGTTCCTCCTCAGAACGCTAAATGGAGCTGAAATGGCACCTGCCTCATTCTTTAAGAAGGTTAGAAAGTTGTTGTAAGCTGCATTGCTTCTTGACAAATCTGAGGCACTGAAAAGGCAGGATAGCTATTCAAAGCGACTAAGCAGGGAAAGGTCCTGTCGTCCAAATGGATTGGCAGCTCTCTTCATTGTTATATTTTACTTATTTATTTTAAATGTTTTATGTCTTTGTATTTATATTTTTATTCTACTTTCCTCCAGTTGGCTCACACATGGCATGTACAGTTCGCCTCCTCCTAACTCTTTATTTCCTTGTGTTTGTGTTTAAAAGTGTGCAATATTAGCTAACAAACACCTTTTCCTGCTTTAATATGACGTGAATTTTAGACTGATCTCCTTAGTTAACTGTACTGTGCCCATGTTGTGCTTGTGTGAGAAAAAAACAATACAAATTAATTTCTAAATTGTGTTTGCATTATAATGTGTAATCATCCTTTTCTTTCATTTATTACAAGTTACAATCTAGACAAAACGTACCATATAAGTCCAATAAGTCCAATTATATATATATATTATTGGACTTATTGGACTTATATGGTACATTTTGTCTAGATATATATACAGTATATTTCAGCCACGTGTGCAGTGCAGCCGGTAAAGGTATATGGGAAAAAGAAACAATTGATTGTTTCGATAATGTACTTAAAATATCCAGATATAGAGGCTGAAATACTGTTCTTCAGTTACACAAACAACACAACTTTTAAATGTGAATTGCTGTAAGGTAAGAAATCTTGGTAGACATTATCTGGTGCAGCAAATATGCAACATATCATGTCTGCCTTTGTAACTTCTACAAGTTTGCTTCCAAAAGTTACACTGTTTGCATAACGGTATCACCAGATTTCAGACAGAGAATATCGTATTTTTTGCACCATAAGACACACTTTTTCCCCCTCCAAAAGGGGGGTAGAAAGTCTGTGCGTCTTACGGTGCAAAGGTGGTGACTTCGCCCCCACTGGCCCCGTGGGGGGGAGTGTCGCAAGGGTCCGAGGGAGCCTTCCAGGACCCTTGCGATGCTCCCGCACCCCCCAGCGGGGCCAGCGCAGGCGAAATCGCCAGCTTCCAGGTGGGGGGAACGTCGCAAGGGTCCTGGAAGCTCACTCAGACCCTTGCGACGCTCCTCCCACCGGCAAAATCGCCAGTTTCTGGGAGTGTTTTGAGGCTTCCCAAACCTCAAAACACTCCCAGAAGCTGGCGATTTTACCCCCCCTGGCCCCGTGGGGGGGTGGGGGTAGCGTGGCAGGGGGTCCAAGGGAGCCTCCCAGGACCCTTGCCAGGCTGCCCCCACCTCCCCACGGGGCCAGCCCTGGCGAAATCGCCAGGTTCTGGGAGTGTTTGGAGGCTCCCCAAGCTTCCAAACACTCTCAGGACCTGGCGATTTCGCCGGCCCTGGCCCCCGTGCGGTGGTGGGAGGAGCGTCGCAAGGGTCTGAGTGAGCTTCCAGGACCCTTGCGACGTTCCCCCCACCTGGAAGCTGGCGAT